TATTTATGGCACCTAAAGATGCAGATGGGAGCTTCGTGGGGTTTCCAGAAGCTTCATAGCACATTATTCGCCTAATGGATTTCTCTGGGAGTCAGGTGCCCGACCTGCTTAGACGCTTCTGAAAATGGTGCTCGGTGCCTATTTTTGTTTGTAGATGCCTAAGTATAAATGAAAATCTGTCTCTTGGGGCTTCTCACCTGTGGCAGGTGTGTTCGCAGTGAGATCCACACAGGAATGGGATCCAGGCAGTCACATCTCTGACTCATCCACACTAGAAACGAATATGGCAGTTCACAGTGAGAACAGGGGGCGTCCAATCGTCACCTCCCTCTCTTTTTCCAACCTTTTTTTTTATTAGTAGTAGTATTAATATTATTTTGTGCATTTCGTTGCCGGGTCCCCATCTGCTGGGAAACAGCCGGGTGCGTGGGGAGTGCGCGTCCCACTGCCCATCTGGGCGACCGATTTGTCCCGTTAATTGCAAAAAAAGTGCAAAGAAGCAAAAAGCAATGGTAGGACGCGCTCGCGGAACGTCTGCAGAGCAAGAGCCAGCCGTGATGAAATCCACGCCTCGCCACAGAACGGCAGGGAGCTCGATGTTACGAAATGTCTGTGTAATCATTTACCGCGCTAATTGGTCTCTTTGCACGGTGCCGAGCGAGAGGTCGGCTTCTCTTCTCTGCCCGTTACCTGACTCTGCTGCACAGGGAAGGCCTGGAAAGATCTAAGTCTCTTGCTCGGATAAATGCAGTAGATAGAGCATCATTAGTGTCTCGTGTTCGGCCTCGCTATATGCCGGAGGTTCTGAAAGCCACTTTTCAGCTTGTTTTGTTGCTGTAGATCTGTGCAGAGATAAACTTCTGTAAGCCACAAGTCTGTCTCGTGATGCTCCTTTGCTGCCGTTTTTAGCGGCGCTTCGTGCAGCAAAACTCCAAGGCTCTGTTGAAAGATGCGTTGTTTTAAACCGTCTGCAAACCTGGAAGACGGCGCCTTTGCACTACATTGCTCTTGATTTACACGAAGGCCATTCTACACTTCTCTGGCAGTGCAAAGGCACCTTCAAGTGTGCGTCCCTGTGAGGGTCGGGCGTGCTTTTTATACGTTCCGTCGTTCCATGCGCCTCCTTGGGAAAACGCATGGGGATCTGGTTGGTTTTTTCGCTGTTTCCTGGAGACGTCCCTAACACGCACCGACGAGGGACGTGACTGAGGCGCGGACGTGCAACCTTGGGAGGACTGAGAGAGCCGCGGTGTTTTCAGCACCAGGCTTTTTTTTTATTTTGCAGCTCAGCGCATGAAATCACAGAAGCTGACTCCTCTGAAGAATTTGCCCGGCTCCCCAAGGGCAAGGAGCGCACAAGGCCTTCCTGTGCCCGAAAAACATGAGTGCCTAGCATGAGAACGCAGAGTTTCCTGAGTTTGTCTCTTGTGATTTTTCTGACAGATCAGCTAATAACTGCTCCGTCCCATCTCCTGCCAAGAATGACAGTCACTCAGCCGCCAGAGAGCGTGTTTAGAATGATACCTTTCCTTAAACAGCTATTCCTGTTGCGAGCGTTCACTGCAAAGGATATTTGCAGGGAGGTGCACATGTTTGGTAACTTTTTAAATAGGTACCCACTGTATACCAAGCAATCTCCCTGCAGGAACCTCGATTTTGACCATTTTTATGTGTGGTTTTTTTTTTTTGTAATTATATTTATCTTAAATTTTGACTGAATTGGGTCCGATGCCTTTTAGGAATGGGCATGTTTAACCATCAACCAGTCAACTAGTCAGTTAACCGCATTTTAACATCCTTACTTCAGTCGGGCTGGAGCAACCCCCCACCCTCCCTCCTCTTTAACCAGTTAACTGGTTAAACAATATGTTTAACCAGGTAAATGGGATTTGACATCCCTAATGCCTGTTTAAAAATTGCAGCTTTATTGAAGAAACCCATTTTCTAATGGACGGGGTGGGCTCCTTCTGCCCCCCTCCCATCTCTGTGTGACTCCTCGGGGGATCTTAAATGAACTGCGGAGTGCAGAGGAGAATTTCCGGCATGTGCATAGTTATGCTGTCCCCGCCTTACCTGCTCAGGTGCAGAAGACAGAAAGGAGAAGGAGCCAGACATCCTGGACGGCGGAGCTTCTCGAGGATAGAGCAGACCCTGGGGTTTCGTAATAGAAATGTAGCCGTGTTAGTCTGGTGTAGCTGAAGCAAAATACAGGACTATGTAGCACTTTAAAGACTAACAAGATGGTTTATTAGATGATGAGCTTTCGTGGGCCAGACCCCCTGGACCCGACGCCCTTCTTGGTGCAGGGCAAAGATTATTTAAGACTTGCATTATAGTAGCACCTTGAAACCCCAGTCGAGAGAGTGACCCTGCAGTGGTAGTCTCCTAAGATACATAGCGAAGGACAGGTCCTGCCCCAAAGAGCTTACATCCTCCTCCAGGATCTTACCAGTGCCAGGAGACCAGCAAACCAGACACCACCCACCCCAGCGCCTGCACAGACTTTTCCTTCCTGGTGGAATGACTGTCCATTCGACTCATCTCATCTCTTTGTAACAGGAAGTTTGGCAGCTTTTGTGCCCTGGTTTTTCCTTCCCCCCGGCCCCGGCACGTCCCCGGCGCTCCAAGTTTGCCTGCCCTTCGCCGTGTAGGAGAACTAATTAACTATTAATAATGCGCCAGATGCGTAGAAGCGCTACCTGATGGCCCCCGACTCTGCTCTCTGCTGCACGGAAATAAATTGTGAATTAAAGCCTGCCTCGGCATCCCAGGGTGCTTGGCAGCTCTGAAGTCAAAGCTGGATTTAAAAACGTGCCTCCGATTTTACAGAGCAGCCACCGTTCCAGAGGACTCTCCGTCCCTTGGCTTATTCAGGCTGCAGGGGCTCACCCTATTAACAGCCCCTTAGCAAAGCGGAGAAGGCAGCTCTGGTTCTGTGTGAATGTTTAGCTTGGGCTTGTCCAAGCCAGTGGGGGTTCGGAGCTAGGAGTTGGGTGCTATCCCTTTAAATCAGTGGTCCCCAACGCGGTGCCTGCCGGGGCATTTATGTGCGCCTGCCGAATCATCTGAGCCAATCCCGGACCGCGGCACGTGTGTGTTGCCGGCCCTGGGCGCATGGGCGGCCCCTACCCCAGGTGCACGGCACATGCACAGTGTCTGCGCAGGGCACATGGGTGGCCCCTGCCCCGGGGGTACGGCACATGTACGGTGCCGGCCCGGGCGCATGGCGTGTGAGCAGCCCCGCCCCGGGCACACGGCACATGCGTGGCCCCACCCCGGACGCACGGTGCACGAGCAGCCCCAAAAGGTTGAGGATCACTGCTTTAAATAGTTTGTGAGCCTTCTAATGACGCTCCCTGTGTCTTGTGTGTATGTACCAGAGGCCGGTGTGTGCCTGTATGTGCCTTGCCTGTTGTATATAGTGAACACCGTTACTCGGCCGCTGCCGTGGGTCTGTGAGGTTCCTTCCTGTTCGGTTAAAGAGTGAAAGGAGCAGTCATTTAAAGGGATACTACCCCCAGGCATATTGGTTAATCTTAACAGCTACATGCAGACACACCCCCTTGCTGCCTCTCTATCAGAGGCAGCAAGGAGGTAGGGGGAAGCAGGAGCTGCTGCCTGTGGGGAGTTGGTTTTTAAGCCAGCTCCTCGCGCCTGCTGGCTCTCGGAGCAATTGGCTTCCCGCCCTCCCACTCCTCTGCTACCTACAGAGCATGTAAGAGCGGCCAGACGGGGTCAGACCAAAGGCCCATCGAGCCCAGCGTCCTGTCTGCCCACAGTGGCCGATGCCAGGTGCCCCAGAGGGAGGGAACAGAACAGGGAATCATCACCTAATCCCTCCTCTGTCATCCATCTCCACACAAAAAAAACTGGGGGGGGAGGCGGGACCAGGGCTGGGGGACACCCATGGAGCTGCCTCCCCCCGCCCCGCACTGCTGCCTCTGTGGGAAGTTCGTGGTAGAGGCAGGTGTAGAACCGGCATCCTGACGCCAAGCATGAGCCTCGGTTGCCCTGCCCTTGTTGCCTCAGCCAGCCCTGTTGCCAAGTGGGACTGGCTTGGAAGAGGAGCGTTCCACATGCCCGCTTTGTGCAGGCGTGAATGGCTCCCACCACGGGCAGTGGCCTGGACACCCCGACAGCCACGCCGTAGGGTGAAGGGAGGCTGGACGTGGGCTTAGTCTCCCGGGGCTGCGAGCTGTAGAACGCCAGGCTGCCTGTGGCTTCGCAGGCTGCCCCGTCTCGCGCATGGTATTCTGGGGTTCGACCCGGGGCGGGTGTGGCGCTGGGTTAGCAGCCTGCGCTCTGTCATGGATGCTTAGCAGCTCTTTAAAAATAATTCTATAGCAAAAGCACAGACGGCAATGTTTGGGAGGAGTAGCCCAACCACAGACTACGTGAATTGTCTTTTTGCTGTTAAGAAGGAATGTATTAGGAAATGCGTTAGGAAACATAATAATTTAGGATAAGCAGTATAATTTGTAAGAGTAAAAATCCTCATCTGAGTCTCTAGCTCTTGAGTAACACACCAAATTTGGTGTAAGTAGAAAAAATTCTTTGCATCTACTTACAAGATCCTCAGCTAATTCACTAGGCCTTAAGAGAAATTAGGATAAGCAGTATAATTTGTAAGAGTAAAAATCCTCATCTGAGTCTCTAGCTCTTGAGTAACACACCAAATTTGGTGTAAGTAGAAAAAATTCCTTGCCTGTAATTATAAGAGCTTCATCTCATTCACTAGTGGACTTTTGTCGACAAAACTATACCTGCGTCTACACTACCGCTGAGTTCTGTCGATATAACGTCGACAGAACTCAGCAGTTTTGTCGACGCTGGTAAACCTCATTTTACGAGGCATAACGCCTTCTGTCGACAGAGTTCTGTCGACAGAAGGTGTTATTGCATCTAGGGTTGTGTCTAGACTACAGGGTTTTGTCGACAAAGCAGCTTGCTTTGTGGACAGAACTGAATGTAGTCTAGACACTCTGTCGACAGAAGCTTTGTCAACAGTATCTGTCGACAAAACTTCTGTCGACAAAAGCCTGTAGTCTAGATGTACCCAGAGAGATCAGGCCATAAATACCCCTGCAGTAACGACTGCAGGTACCTCATCATCTACGACTCATTCTGGAAACTGAACTCACGTGCTGCTCTCTGACAAGAGGCAGGAGGTCCATCCGAGGCAGGCATCGTAACAGCATTCGTCATCCTCTACCTGGTCAATAGAGAGATGCTGCTACACCTGATCGGGTGAGTCAAAAAACTTAACAGAAGAGTCAAAAAATCTAACAAAAAGAGTCAAAAAACCTAACAAAAAGATTCTAAAAAATCAAGAAAAACAAAATAATATTGATGAGCTATAAGATCAAGGATCCTCATAGTTGCAGTTCTTTTAAAAAATTAATCTAGAAGAAATTAAAAAACTAGATAACGAGTTAGCTGACATCACTAAATATCCTTGTCATCAGGCTAGCAGAAACAATTTGCTTTTTGTATTTTTCTTTTTTTATTCATTTTCTTTTAATTCTTAGCTGTTATCTTTTAAATTTGTTGTTCATTAAGTGGCAACATCAATAAAGTTATGCTCATTAATTAAAACACAAATTGGTAATTGTTCTAAATTTATTGGCGACTTCCCAGGTAAACATGGGGGCAGACCAGAGTTCTGCACAGTCCTAGTGAACCCAAGGGAAGGGGACGGTTTGCTTAATCGCGACCTCTCATGGCACGCTCATGTGACCGGTATCTTCTTGCTCGCAGTATGCGGGGAGTCTGAGTCCCCCCCTCCCCCCCAGCCTGACTGACCATGGACACCGAAACCGTGCAGCCCCCGGAAGCCGCCCTGACGGTGAACGAGCAAGTACGTTTGCGTCTTTCCACATCGGGCTTCCCCTTCTCATGCGGCCAGCTGCTCTGAGCCATCTCCTCTGCACGGGCTTCAGAGGTGCACCACTGAGCTCCCCACTGGTGTATTAGCCCACTGATTTCAGTAGAGCAACGCTGGTTCATGCCAGCTGAGCAGCCGGCCGGTTGGCATCAGGGGAGCTGTGCCAGCTCACGCCAGCTGGAGATGGGCCCTGATGAGGGATGGAGCCACAGCTGATAATGCCAGCTGAGACTCTGCCCTGGCTATTCTGGGCTAACTGCAATGGTGAGGAAACAATTACAGCGAAGCTAGTGACTAGAGAGGTATATGGGGATGGAAGGATGGATAGAGCGGGTGTGTGTGTTTGGGGATGGATAGATTGATAGACAGATAGATTTGTATAGGGGATGGATGGATGTGCATAGGGATAGACAGATGAGTGTTGGGATTGATGAATAGACGGATGTCTATGGGGATGAAAAGACAGACAGACAGAAGTGTATTAGAATGGATGGATATATGTGTATGGATAGGGATGGATAGATGGATGGGCAGGGATAGGGATGGATAGATGGATGGGCAGGGATAGGGATGGATAGATGGATGGGCAGGGATAGGGATGGATAGATGGATGGGCAGGGATAGGGATGGATAGATGGATGGGCAGGGATAGGGATGGATAGATGGATGGGCAGGGATAGGGATGGATAGATGGATGGGCAGGGATAGGGATGGATAGATGGATGGGCAGGGATAGGGATGGATAGATGGATGGGCAGGGATAGGGATGGATAGATGGATGGGCAGGGATAGGGATGGATAGATGGATGGGCAGGGATAGGGATGGATAGATGGATGGGCAGGGATAGGGATGGATAGATGGATGGGCAGGGATAGGGATGGATAGATGGATGGGCAGGGATAGGGATGGATAGATGGATGGGCAGGGATAGGGATGGATAGATGGATGGGCAGGGATAGGGATGGATAGATGGATGGGCAGGGATAGGGATGGATAGATGGATGGGCAGGGATAGGGATGGATAGATGGATGGGCAGGGATAGGGATGGATAGATGGATGGGCAGGGATAGGGATGGATAGATGGATGGGCAGGGATAGGGATGGATAGATGGATGGGCAGGGATAGGGATGGATAGATGGATGGGCAGGGATAGGGATGGATAGATGGATGGGCAGGGATAGGGATGGATAGATGGATGGGCAGGGATAGGGATGGATAGATGGATGGGCAGGGATAGGGATGGATAGATGGATGGGCAGGGATAGGGATGGATAGATGGATGGGCAGGGATAGGGATGGATAGATGGATGGGTGTAAATTGGGATGTGTGGATGGGCAGGGATGGGGATGGATAGATGGATGGGTGTAGATATAGATGGATGGATGGATGGGCAGGAATAGGGATGGATAGATGGATGGGTGTAAATTGGGATGTGTGGATGGGCAGGGATGGGGATGGATAGATGGATGGGTGTAGATGTAGAAGGGTGGATGGGCAGGGATAGGGATGGAGAGATGGATGGATGGATGGGCAGGAATAGGGATGGAGAGATGGATGGGTGTAGATATAGATGGATGGATGGGCAGGGATAGGGATGGCTGGATAGATCTATAGGTGGATCCATTCTAGCTCTGCCTTTTGCGGTGGGTGGAGAGTGTGAAGCCCAGAGAATCCCACCCTCTTTTTGTCCATGTCCGTCAGGAACTGGGCCTGTTGAGATCTGACTTCTCCTTTGCTCTCTGCGTCCAGGTCATCGTGATGTCGAGTCACGAGACTATCCGAGTGCTGGAGGTGGGAGTGGATGCCCCGCTTCCAGCAGAGGATGATGGGAAAGCTTTGGAAGCAACTGCTGGAGAGGTGGCAAGCGGCTGCCCCGTGGAAAGAAGTGATCCAGCAAGACAAGGCATGCAGCCAAACCAAGAGGCCACTGGTGGAGAGACAGCTGGTAGGAGGCCCGCTACCCTGTGCTGTTTCTTGTGTTCCACCTCCCACCTGTTGGTTAGTGCAAATGATCAGGAAAATGCCTGAGACATAGACAACATCCTGATTTGGCCGAAAGCTTCCCAGTTCCACTTGACTTTTTAATCCCATTCCTCCCAAGGGACCCTGGCTCTGTCTGTCTGTTGAGTTGATGGAGGAAACCAGCATTTCCTAAATGTGCACATGTGCTCCAGTAACCACCACACGGGGCTGAACTAGGAGCCAGGAAATCTGGGTTCCATCCCAGGATCTTGGACAAATTGTGCCCCTGTGCCTCAGTTTCCCTTCCCTTTGTTTAGATTGACAGCTTTTTGGGGTGTCCCGTGTACGCATCCTAGCAGAACAGGGCTCTCCGTTCAGATGGGCAGGGCCTGGAGGCACTTCTGTAATACCAGTTGTTGGTGTGGGTGGGCAGGGGGTGAATCGATTAATACACATCGGTTTTGAACGCTTCTGAGTACAATAAGGGCATCTTCCCAGGTAGCTGCGTGGCTCCTTGTGGCGAGGAACCAAAATCAAGTCTGCCTCTTTGACAGGAACAGAAGGCAACATTTGTCAGTGTAACTCACACACGGGATTAGAAGGAGTCTCTTTTTCCCTAAGGGCCACGTGGCCCCCGACTGATTTTTCTGGGGGTCAGTGGCTCCCCAACAAAAAAAGTTTCCCCGCCTCTGCCCTAGGTCTCCTTTGCAGCTGTGCTGCCAAAGCAGACGGCTGAAGCAGAGTAGGGATGTGGGATCTTTCTTCCCTGCCTGCCCTAGGCTATTCCAGAGTGTGGTTATGTGCCGATAAACAACCGGGGTGTCTCACCCCAGAGGTGGCTGCGTTTCAGTGGCGGGTAAAGTGATCTGGGGTTTCAGTTGGGTAAGTTCTCATTTTGGGGGGGACAGCTGCAGAAGCGGTGCCGTTGTTATACAACCCTCAGCGACGTTGGGCAGAAAATGACTTTGGCCGTAGAGTTCAAGGTGAAGGAAGATGGATGGAAGGGGGCTCTCTCTTACTCAGGGGAGGTGCTCACTAGAATAGTCTGTGCCAAAAATTTCTCTCGGGGCCCTGAGCAATGTGGGAGGTGGGGCCTGGCTCCATGCTCCCAGAAAGGGTGGGGCTGGGGCAGTCGGCCCTCAGCACCGCCTGGGGTCCGGGGCCACAGTAGCAGGGGCGTTGGCTGGGAGCCCAGGGCCCCTGTGAATTACTGGGCCTTGGGGCAGTTGCCCCCTTTCCCCCCCTTTTTGGAGGGGTTGTTTGGTCCTTTTTGGAGCAGCCAGGTAGGCCAAGAGCTGTTGCCTGGCAACATGGGGGACATCTCTGTGCGCCTAGAAGGGGCGGGGCCTTGGGTGGAAGGGGCGGGGCTAAAGTGTGCCACACCCTTTCCCCAGCCAGCCCTATGTGTATGTGTGTGTATATACTTGTGTACACACACACACACACGCCCACACACACCAGCAGGCCTGGGAGCCGTACATAAATGCACAGAGCTCTCCTGCCATCCACGATTCCAGGATTGTGCAATGCCTGGGTCCGGCCACCAGGGGTCACCTTGACTCCATGCCCAGCTGACGTGGCCAGACAAGGGGGTGACCAAAACTCAGAAGAGAGGGGATGATAGATCAGATAAGTGCCTCCATTCTGTGGTCATGGCTTTGAGGCATTGCCAGGATGGCCTAGTGGGTAAAGCACCTGCATGGGACTCCCGTGTTCTAGTCCTGTCTTTGCCTCTCAACTCCAGGGTGACCCTGGGCATGTGACATCCTGCCTCAGTTTCCCTGTGGCCCAAACTGGGGGTAAGGATCCTGACTTCCTTCATCAGGAAAACCTGGGGTTGCTGATATGAAACTAATAGGCAGCAGGTTTACAATAAACATAAGGAAATACTCCTTCACGCCCCTTGCTGTCAGCCTGTGAACTTCACTGCTAGGGGAGGTGGCGAATTCCAAGAGTCTAAGTGGATTATAGGACCATGGATGGCTTTTAGTCCAAGCGTTTAGATGTCCCTCAACCTCTGGCTACCAGAAGCTGGGCTGATGACAGGGGAGGGATCACTCGAAATATTACCCACGGCAGCGCCAAAAGGCAGGATACTGGGCTAGATGGACCCAGCATGGCTGTTGGTACGTTCAGCTTCTTTTGGGGGCAGAGAGAAGGTCCCACATCAGAGCCACATGCTGTTGCTTGAGCCGAAAAATCCAGTTCTGCCAGCAGCACAGATCTGTGGGAAAGCCACTAGGGGGAGACAGAGAGCAGGTGACAGTGTGGCATAGCCATGGTACTTTCCTAGTCGACCTTGGGCAAGTCATTTTCCCCCTCCTTGTGCCTCAGTTTCCCCATTTGCAAAATAAAAGCTAACGATGCAGCCCTGCTTCGTTAAGGACTTGGAGATCTGTAGGTGAAGAGCGCTACATAACGATTGTTATTATCATTACACTTAAGTAGCAGAGTCTTCTGACGTTGTGTCCTTTCCTTCCCACGAAGGCGAAGTAAAGTCGTTGCCTGGAATAGCTCCCCCCAGCATCTCCTCCATCACCACCTTCAACCAAGCCACGAGCCAGCCGACCCAAGCCCTCACTCCTTTGGCCGTCCAAGCCGCGCCGCAGGTAATTTTCTGATATCCCCATGGCTGGGCGTGGGAAGGGTGCGCACGCCGATGGCGA